GTTCTTGGGCCAGCTCTCAATGAAAAGCTGTAACTTGAGATTTTGCTTCTCCATTGAAGTTTACTGTTAAGTGGGCCTTCCACCAGTGCATGTTTTTAAACATGGTGGAAAGTGCTGAATTTTTCTTTATTTATTGAGAATTTTATTTCAAGGAAGAAGATAACCGATTTTATTTTTTGTCTTTTGTTTTTAATATTACAGGTAATGTGAAAGAATAAATACCATGTAACAAATACTATACTAATGGAAACATTGTTGCAGTTTTTATTATTTATTTATTTTGTGTATTGTAGTTTAAGTGAAAGTTTACATTTCAAATTAGTCTCTTATGCAAAAATTTATACATACATTGTTATGTGACCCTAATTGCTCTCCCTATACTGTGACAGCACACTCCTTTCTACCCCTGATTTCCCATGTTCGTTCAACCAGCTCCTAACCCTCTCTGCCTTCTCATCTAATCTCTGAGTAGAAGCTGCCCATTTAGTCTCATGCATCTACTTGAGCTAAGAAGCGTACTCTTCATGAGTATCATTTTATGTCCCACAGTCCAGTCCAATCTTTGTCTGAAGAGTTGGCCTCTGAAATTGTTTTTGTTCTGGACTGATAGAAAATCCAGGGGCCATGCTTTCCGGGGTTGCTCCAGTGTCAGTCAGACCGTTAAGTCTGGTCTTTTTACTAGAATTTAAGTTCTGCTCCATCAGGGACTTCCTGTTGTGTTCCCTATCAGGGCAGTCAGTGGTGGTAGCTGGGCACCATCTAGTTCTTCTGGTCTCAGACTGATGAAGTCTCTGGTTTATATGGCCCTTTCTGTCTCTTGGGCTACTTCTTTCCTTGTGTCTTTGGTGTTTTCATTCTCCTTTACTCCAGGTGGTTGGGACCAGTTGATGCATCTTAGATGGCCACTTGCAAGCTTTTAAGACCCCAGATGCCACTCACCAAAAATAGGATGCAGAACATTTTCTTAATAAACTTTGTTATACCAGTTGACCTAGATGTCCCCTGAAAGCATGGTCCCCAGACCCCCACCCCTGCTGCTCTGTCCCCCGAAGTGTTTGATTGTATTCAGGAAACTTCTTAGCTTTGGTTTAGTCCAGTTGTGCTGACTTCCCCTGTAGAGAGCACAGTCCTTTCCTTCACCTAAGAGCAATTTTTATTATTTATGAAATTTGCAGATTATTTTAAAATGTTTTATATATGTATATACATATATATATTATACTTTTTTTAACTTTAAATATACTGTCCATGATTTAGCTAAACACATCCTATTCTTTATCTCTATGCCTCAGCACTAGAGAGGGGTCCTTCGTTTAGGTCCTATTCGATGAAGAATTTATTCCACATTGCATTAAAACATTTACAGAACTTAATTCATTAATACTACGATAATTTAAAGTCTGTCCAGCTTTCTAGTGGCATTGGGGTCCTTCATGCTATTAGATCTTCGCTGCTTTCTGAATTAGTAATTAACGTTCATGAAGTGTACAAATGTGCAGGGATTGGAAGCCCTTTTTTAGGTAGCATGAATTCTGTAGTCTATGGCCTTGAAGAGGTGTTTTTTGTTTTGTTTTTTTGTTTTTTTTGCTTTGCTAATGACTAAGCCAAAATAAGTAGATGCTCTTGGGTGGTGAGCAGTTGAACCTTTTCGACAGTTTTGACTCCTTTCTTTACTGATTTACATAACTTGTTCCATTCTTGTTGTAGACCACTGTTAGCTGGTTCTTAGACATATCCCGTCTGAGTGGACAGGTAGAAACTGCTGCCTCTGGAGCAAACCGTGGCAAGCGTGCCCTCAGCCCGGCCTCTGTCCATCCAGCTATCGGATCAGGGCTCACCAGGATACCTTACAGCTGTAGTACAATACTTTTCTATCCCTGGCACTATTCTTATAGTGTCTGATCTTCATGTGAATTGATTTTCAGCTTGTTCTCATCATTCAGCAGACATTTAGTGCCTACTATGTGTCAGGCATTGCTCCAAGGAGGTTGCTGTAGTAGTATTATTGAGAAACATGTTATTATTTTATATTTTGTATTTTCTCGTCACTGCCTTAATAGCAGAGGTACCCAAACTTGTGGTTAGGAGCTACTGTGTCCCTCCACAGATAAGCCACTGTAGCCGCCATACCTCTTCCAACTAGTGGAGGGGGGTGCTTATGGCCAGCGTTGCAGCCTCATCCTCTGTTGGTCCCAGGGGAGGACTGCATCTGCTGGTCATTGTGCTTGCTAGCCTCCTGCTTTGGCTGCTGGCACACTTCTTTGTATGTGTTGGGACGCTCGAAGGGGCTGTGAGCCCTTCAGGACACCTGAAGAGTGGACCCTATCCATCACTCCACTGGGATGTTGATGTGACAGTTCTTATTAAGCTATTCTCCCAACTGGTCTTCCTCTTCCGTTTCTCTCAGCACATGGACCAGGCTGATTTTAGACTCCAGTAGAAGAAAGCGAGGTCAGTCCACAGTGTGGCAGGTAGCAGGAGCTTTCATCCTACTTTGCAGGGAATCGCTTCAGCATTCTTGATGGGCATAAGCCACTCTGGCTGGAAATCGCAGTGGAAGGGAAGGTGGAAACCAGAGAATTCTTCAGTCCCTCTGAGAGGACTGGCCTCAAAGGGGCTGGAGGAAGTGTGTAGGCAGGAAGGCATTTCACAAGCTGATGGGGCCTGGTGTACTGCCAACTCTCATTTAAGAGGAAAGGAAGAAAATTAACTGAGTCAAGCTGTACAAGATGATCAGTATATGTATCTACACCAACAAGCTTGTTTGGCCTAGATGCAGGGAAGGAGTGAGATAACTTTTTTTTACAGTAGCATTTCCTTTTCAGTTTTCTTGCCCTTTGAATCACTGCTCTAATACCTTTGCGTCGGGAGGTGCTTTAGAACTTCAAACAGCCACCTCGATATTCTTCTCCCAGTCCAGGAAAAATTAGGACAGACAGGGAAGGAGGTAGCTGGGGATAGCAAAGTGACACTTGAATGGGAAAGGATCTGTTGTTTCACTGTCCTACCAGCTAATCATTGAATTTAACCATTAGCATGATTAAAGCCTGTTTGGTCAGATGTGAAGTATTTCCATATGACAAGCAGTGGTTAAACTCATCTGCTTAAAGAACCAAAGGGGACCTTTATTGGGAGGTGTAATGATTGACTCAAAGCTGGAAAAAACGTAGTGAGAATGTTTAGGAAATAAGGCTTCTTCTGACTTTTCATAGTGGTAGGCGATGGGAAAGGGAATTGTATCCCTCAGGTCTTAATTGCAGACGAGATTCTACTCTGAGCCAGTTTCAGCAGGAAGGGGTTATTAAAGAGAGTGTTGGAAGTGTATGCTTTCCTCAGAAGAGCCTGAGAAACAGGCTTTGAGCTGAACTTCCAGGACTGATGCCCAGAACCTCATCCAACACCTGACTGACGAGAGGCACTGCCCCTGCTTCCATCTGCTCCTGCAGCAAGATGCCCTCTGCCTGCCGTTCCTTCCCATGCCCTGCTTCCAAATCAGTCCTGCGTAGGTGTGTTGAGTTGGTGAGACCAGGTCAAGAGTCTGCACCCAAAGCAGGGGAGGTTGGGAACATCATTTATGTGGAGTCTGTTGGGAAGGTGGACTCACAGTGTGAGGAACTCTCAAAATGTGCAGAAGCGTTGGAGGCTTTTGGGCAGCCACAATTTACCTGTATTAGCAAATACAGCACAGAAATGACATGAGTTAACAGTAAAAACTGAATAATCAACAGCAGAAATTTTCGAATAATTCTAGACAAGTTATTTTATAAGATGCCATCCATCTTATTGAGGCAGTGGACAACGTACTTTATCTTTTGAGGGAGTTTTGGTTGTCTCTATCACTGTTCTACATATCTGAACTTCTTTTACTTACTGAGGTTGGTTATTTTTCTAGTTTCTGACGTGTTTCCCCGCTTCACCGCCCCCACCACCCCTGCTGTTGTCAATGACATAGTAATAAGATTCTGTGAGATTAGGCTTCCTAGAAAGGAAGGATTTGAAAAAACAGCAAAACCTGTGAGAGCTGGAACTCGATGAGACTGCCTTGTTTTTCCAGAACTCACAAATTTTCCACCTTTGACAGGGTGCAGTCTTACCACTTTTCTATCACTCGTTTTAGTGGAAAATATTTTTGAGTTTTTCTTTTCTGACAGGTTTCCACCTTACACAAGTTTCAGCTTTCGAAGATTTCGTTGTAATTCATCTAACTCTTCATAAAACCATATTCTCTTGCAAAGGTTGCTGAGATTATTAAATTTTGTATTTTACTTGACATGTAAGACCTCTTTGAAGTATACTTTAAATCTCTCTGAAGGAGAAACAACTAAGTTTTTTATAAAACTCAAATTTAGCATGATTTTTATAGCATGAGTTTATATAAAAATTTTTTTTGCAAATTTTTATAGAGGACTATGTTAAGTTCCTTTTTAGTCCCCAAATTGGGCCATTCTTTAAAAAATGAATTAGTTTGTTATACAAACTTTAGCTTTATGAAAAACAAGCAAAATGAAGCAAATTGTTTGCAGTGTTAAAAGCGTACTGTGGCCGTCATTGCACCAAACTTTTGAGAGAGACGCTGCAACAGGAGACTGTCACGTTCAGTCATCTGTCAAGACTTTTATAAACAGGGCTTCATTTTTGGTCACTCAGCATCCTAAGTGAGAGAGATTAAAATGTGAAATAATGAACACGTGTCTGAGGTGGTAGTTTTGGAACTTGTTGACACGTACTGAAAAGTACTCAATTATGTCACTTTTTGATGCACCCTTGAATTTTGTCTAAACTACAAACTGTTTATAAACTAGAGTATGAATAGTTGTATGCATGGTCATGGTTTCCATGACCAGGAACCTTAATTAAAGAGTTTTCCCCCAGTTCCTTGGCAACAAAAGACTACTAAAAAACCTTCTCCTTTTTAGTTTTTGTATTTTCGACCCGAGTGAATAGTTCCTCTAAATACTTTTCTCCACTGAGTATCATTTAATTTTTTTATCATTCTACAGGGGGTTAAATACCTGTGCATCCCAGCAGCAGATTCACCATCTCAAAACCTGTAAGTTTTTTTCTGTATTATTTGAGGATATTAAAAATGTATAAAGGATTGTAAAGTCAAATAAACAAAGGATTATGAAGCTAGCAGAGCCAGTGGACCCTTGATGCCCATGCATGCTGGTCCCAGGGCAGTGCTGGGCACTGTACAGTCCGGTTTGCTGGGCGTCCATGTGTGACATGACTGATGGAGTATTTACAGGGGTACTCTGATTTTCAAAAAGGGCACCTCAAACCAGACCTTTAGCATGCCCATCCTTTCTTTAGAAGCAGACCCTTAAAGAAGGTATTGGGTTGAAACATGTGAGCCACAAATGCAAGCCACCCATGGAATTTTAGATTTTCTAGTAGCCACATTAAAAAAGCAAAAGAAACAGATGACATTAATTTTAATAATATATTTTATTTAACTCAATATATTCAGTATATTATCATTTCAACATGTACTCAACATAAAAAATATTAATGAGCTCATTTATATCTCTTTTCACAGTAAGTCTTCAAAATCGGGCATGCGTGCTCACACAGCAACACATCTCCACCTGACCAGCCATGCTGCAGGTGCTCAGTAGCCACTGGAGCCTTGAGGTCTCCATTTGGAACAGTGCAGTTCTAAAGCCTGTCTGAGCTAGGGAGTTGATCTTTCTGGTTTAGGAAAATCCAGTCCTCTTTTTCTTCACAGCTGAATCAATCTCTGATGCCATCCTCTTTTTGCTGATGAGTCTCGAGGAGAGATTTATAAGTGCTGTCCTCTTCAGGTCACAGCAACAATGTGAAGCAGTGAGATTAGGCTTTGGCCAGAGGGGCTGGGCTCAGGCCATACTCCTTAGAGTCCAGAAGTAGCCCAGCAAAGCCATTACGTGGAGCAGAGGGTAGTTTGCTGGAGCATGACATTGACTCCATGGGCTGAGAGGCTGGGCAGAAGGAGAGCATGCAGCTGGTCAACCTGTCCAGCTGAGCCAGCTTCTGACCCCAGGGTGGCATTATACTGTGCACTGGAGTTCCAAGACACAGGCACTCACGGGGATGGATTTTATGACATTTTGCCAGGGAAAGCGTACGTTCTGGTAGTGTTTGTGAATTTGGATGGCCACTGACTGGTCAGGATCATCCTTCTTGGCCCTCCAGTTCTGTGGCATCCAAATCCTAGTCACTGGTCCTATGGACAGCATAGCCACGTGTCTTGCCTCTCTGGAAATAATCAAATATGGGAATATCGGCTGGCCTAGGTTTTTCACTGCTAGGGAGCAGAAAGATCACAAGCTATGCACTAAGTTTGTGAGATGGACCTGACTAAAAACATGGGGCTAGAGTCAGATTGATTGACATAAGAGAAAGGGCAGCAGGGGACAGGTGGTATCAAATCAGACCAGGAAAAGGCATGGGTAGGTAGGAAGTGGTGGCAAATATGTTCTACCCAAGGGCTGTATTTCTACACTGACTTTTGATATTTCCCGAAAAAGTGAATCTTGAAGATTGAGGATGGTGGAGGAGAGACTACTAGGAAAACAATGTTTAACACCCTAGGCTAAGATGGAAGGGAAGAAGCATTAGAGAACTTCCTTGATTATAGTCGTGTCAAGAAACAGAAGTGGTTGGAAGGGCATGGTGCATACGGAAGGAAGTGAACCACTGCTTTTCTCTGAAGATGACAGCAATCTTCTGGCTTATGCTTTTGGTAGCTATATTTAGAAGGGCTGCTTTCCTCATCTCAGAAAACTGAGGTTCTAACATACTGTTGAACTTGTCCATACCTGATTGGCAGCATGATTCTCTAGAAGAATTGAATTGTAAGCATCCTGGCCATGTGCTGTTAGCCACCTGTGCTTGTGTTGCCCCTGGGACTCTACCACTGCCAGCAGCCAAGTGCTGTCCTGGGTGCCCATGATGATGACTTGCCCTGACTTACCAAGTGTAGAGTAGTGCTGAGCAGTCCTGTGCTATAGGCAAGTGAGCACTAGGCCTAGCAGCTAGAAAATGCAAAGTCCACAACCAGTTCCATCTACCTTGGACAAGTCATTTTAACCCTTCTAAACCTGAGTGTTCCCTACCTGAAAAATGCCTGCCTTCGGGTTTTTTTTTTTTTTTTTAATTGTGGTTTTGGTGAAAGTTATAGCGCAAATTAGTTTCTCATTCAAAAATGTATACCCAAATTGTTTTGTGGCATTGGTTGCAATCCCCTCATTGTGTCAGCATTCTCCGCCTTTCCCTTTCTACCCTGGGTTCCCCGTGTCCATTTATCCAGTTTTCCTGTCACTTCCTGCCTTCTCATCTTTACTTTTGGGCAATGGTTGCCCATTTGATCTTGTATACTTGATTGAACTAAGAAGCACGTTCCTCACGTGTTATTTTTTTTTTTATAGGCCTGTGTAATCTTTGGCTGAAAGGTAGACTTTGGGAGTGGCTTCAGTTCTGAGTTAGCAGGGTGTACGGAGGCCATAGTCTCAGGGGATCCTCCAGTCCCTGTCAGACCAGTAAGTCTGGTCTTTTATTTGTGTGTGAAGTTGAATTTTATTCCACATTTTTCTCCTGCTCTGTCCAGGACCCTCTATTGTGATCCCTGTCAGAACGGTTGGTGGTGGTACATGATGGTCCACAGCCCTCAGCCCTGGTAACTCCGTCCCTGAAGGTGTTTGGATGTGTCTAGGAAGCTTCTATGACTTTTACTTGGTCAAGTTGTTGCTGACTTCCCCTTTATTGTGTTTTGTCTTTCACCAAGGTTAACACTTGTCTACTATCTAGTTAGTGATTTCCCCTTTCTATCTCTCCCCTCCCTCATAACCATCAAAGATTTTTTTTTTCTGTGTGTAAACCTTTTCTTAGGTTTTTGTAATATTTATACTTTTGCGATTGACTTATTTTACTCAGTATAATGCCCTCCAGATTCATCCATGTTGTGAATTGTCTCACAAATTCATTATTGTTCTTTATCATTGCATAGTATGCCATTGTGTGTATGTACCATAATTTATCCATTCATCTGTTGATGGGCACTTAAGTTGTTTCCATCTTTTTGCTATTATAAATAATGCTGCAGTGAACATGGGTATTCATATGTCTGTTCGTGTGATGGCTCTTATTTCTCTAGGATGTATTTCTAGGAGTGGGATTGCTGAATTGTATGGTATTTCTATTTCTAGCTTTTTTAAGGAGACACCATATCGTTTTCCATAGATGTTGTACCATTTTACACTTACATTTACAGTGGATAAGAGTTCTAATCTCCCCACAACTTCTCCAACGTTTGTTATTTTCTGTTTTTTTTTGATTCGTGCCAGTTGTGTTGGGGTGAGATGGTATCTCGTTGTAGTTTTGATTTGCATTTCTCGAATTGCTGGTGATTGCGAGCATTTCCTCCTGTGTCTGTTAGCTGCCTGAATGTCTTCTTTGGTGAAGTGTGTGTTCCTATCCTTTGCCCATTTTTTAATTGGATTATTTTTCTTTTTATTGTTGAGATGTTGAAGTATTCTATAGATTTTAGAGATTAGACTGTTGGCGGCTATATCATAGCCAAACATTTTTTCCTAGTCTGTAGGTTCCCTTTTTACTCTTTGGTGAAGTCTTTTGATGAGCGTAAGGGTTTAATTTTTAGGAATTCCCAGTTATACGGTGTATCTTCTGGCATTTGTGCATCATTAGTTATGATTTATATTCTATTTATGCCATGTATTAGGGCGCCTAGTGTTGTCCCTGTTTCTTCCTCCATGATCTTTATCATTTTAGGTTTTATATTTAGTTCTTTGATCCATTTTGAGTTAGTTTTTGTATATGGGTCCTGTTTCTTTTTTTACAGATGGACATCCAGTTTTGCCAGCACCATTTATAAAAAAGGCTGTCTTTTCCACATTGAATGGATTTTGGTCCATTGTTAAACATCAGCTGACCATAGGTGAATGGATTTACGTCTGGGTTCTTGATTCTGTTCCTTTAGTCTGTGTGTCTTTTGCTGTACCAGGCTGTTTTGACCGTCGTGGCTGTATTGTAGGTTCTGAGATCAGCTAATGTGAAGCCTCCTACTTTGTTCTTTTTTTTTTTTTTCCCAGTAATCCTTTGCTTATCCAGGGCCTCTTTCCTTTCCATATAAAGTTGATGGTTAGTTTTTCCATCTCATTAAAGAATGCTGCTGGTATTTGGATCAGGATTGCATTCTATCTATAGATCACTTTGGGTAGAATAGACATTTTTACAATGTTGAGTCTTCCTATCCATGTGCATGGTATATTTTTCCATTTTTGTAGGTCTCTTCTGATTTCTTACGATAGCATTTTGTCATTTTCTTTGTATAGGTCTTTTACATCCCTGGTTAGATTTATTCCTAAGCATTTTATCTTTTTAGGGGGCTATTATAAATGGGGTTGTTTTCCTGATTTCCTTTTTGAAGTTCTTTTTGTTGGTGTATAGGAATCCGACTGATTTTTACATGTTGGTCGTGTATTCTGCTACACTGCTGAATCTTTGTATTAGTTCCAGTAGTTTTCTTGTGGAATCTTTGGGGTTCTGTATGTATAGGATCATGTCATCTGAGAATAGAGATAGTTTTACTTCTTTCCAATTTGGATGCCCTTTATTTCTTTTTTTTGTCTTATTGCTCTAGCTAGGACTTCCAGCACAATGTTAAACAGGATTGGTGATAAAGGGCATCCTTGTCTTGTTCTCGTTCTCAGGATAAACGCTTTCAGCCTCTCTCTGTTGAGAATGCTGTTGACTGTTGGTTTTGTGTAGATGTCCTTTATTATTTTGAGGAATTTCCCTTCTATTCCTCTTTTATTGAGAGTTTTTATCAGGGATGGGTGTTGGTCTTTACCAAATGACTTTCTGCATCAATTGATATTGATCATGTGATTTTTTTTTCTTTTGTTTTATTTATGTGGTGGATTATGTTGATTTTCTAATGTTGAACCATCCTGGCATACCTGTGTGAATCCTACTTGGTCGTGGTGTATTATTTTTTTTGATATGATGTACCTTCAGGATTTTTGTAGACAAGCTCATATATGTGAAAGT